AAATGAATTGAGCGAATGCACAAATAAATAATGAAATCTAAAGTACAAACTTATCAAATATTAAAGTATACTAATGAATTTTATTATTAAAATTAATTATTATTAAATTCTATTTTAATTTTAAGTATGGGTAAATCTTAGTCAGATTTTTCGATCTTGATTGGTGCAGTGCATTAAGTTGATATTTAATGATTTGTCCTTTTCTCACAATCAAAGATATTAGACAACTAGTAATAACCGGCACCCTATTTTAAGTCGCATAACTTGCAATAGCAGGTATCCCATTCATGGGAAAGGGCCACCATATCATACTTTTTGAGACTTTTGACATTTTTACTTTTTATTTTTAAATTTTTAATTAATAAATTATGAAATAATGTTTTAATTTAATATAATCAAAATTTTTATTATATATAAACTTATAAATAAATAAAATTATTATTATCTTATTGATTAAAATTATTATTTTATTATTATATAAAAAATTAATAACTAAATATTATCTTATAAACTAAAAATAGATAACTATATCATTAATAAAAAATTAAAGAAAAAAATCATTTGATATATTATTAATTTTTATTTTTTAATTATTTATCAATAAAATTATTATTTGATATAAAAATAATTTAATGAATTTTCAATTATTTATTAATTTTATAAATGTTAAATAATTTAAAATTTGTATTACATATAAATTTTAGTTTAATATACTTAATGGTTATTCTTTTCTAACTATAATTAAACTCACATTTATCTTTCATTTGCATCGAAATACATATATTCATAATTAATTTTAATTTTACAGATATAGTATTTAATTTTACCTTCTTAATCTCATCTAAATCAATTTATTATCCATTTAAATGAACCTAAATAATTTTTATTGCATTAGAAATGTCAATTTTATTCAAATTCAATGAAAAAATCTAATTTTTTATTCAAATAAAAATAAAATAGATATTAAATTTTAAAAATTGAGATTGAAATGTATATGATTTTAAAACTTCTCTTACAAAATTCCTTTAATTTATTTAAGCTCAATTGGATTACACTGTAACCTCGTTGCAGGTGGAGTAAGTACCTTTTTGCTATAATCTCACTGTGATTATCCATTCGAATAACTTTATTACAGTGCGATTCAGTGGAACGATTAATCTCCATGATGAAAAGGATGCAGGGACTCACCGCAATCCATTTTGGACATTTTTGTCCTCATAAAATCTTTTAATTTCATTTTACCCATTCTTTAAAAATTTATTAAGATTAAAATAATTATAATAAATTTAAAATTAATATTTTGTTTCTACTCACATTATTATTTTTATTATATCTTTAAATAATTAATTTTTAATATTTTAAATATTAAATAAAATTAAAATATATTTAAAACAATTTTAATTTGTAATAGATTAAATCTAAAGTAATCATTTTTATTTCACAAGACTATTATCATTGCTTTTACATTTAAATACATATTCAATTATTAATTTTAACCTCACAGTTGCATATTTAATTTTATCATTATAATAACTAATTTTATTATTATTATTTTTTTAATTTTACAAGAGCTAATCTCACTATCCTCCAAATGAATCGTAAATCTGTTATGTTGCACCATAATGTAATGATTCTTATGTATCTTTCGACTTATAATGTAATTGGTGCCATGAAATATTAGAAATGGGTGGCCAAAAGAAAGATACTTTAAACCAAATTAAATGAATAAAATTTTACATATATTTTAGAATTATTATTTTATATATTAATTGACTGTGGAATTATGGTTTATAACACTGGTATCTTCAATTAATAATTGAATTATTATTTTATATGCACATATATTGATGATAGAATTTTAAAATTTTATTAATTTTTATAAATATATTATTATAAAATACGTGTTAATTTTTTAATTTTGTTTATAAAATTTAAAAAATTTATATTAAATAATAATTAATTTGTTAATTTCTTTACATACTTATTTTTTTAATTATGACCTAATGATATGTAATAATCATATAAACTCATTTATCAAGTTTAATTTGATTGATGTATCAGATAATTTTCATTTAAATTAATTATCATGAATTTTTTTAAACTTCATTTTTTATTAAAATACGTGCAAATGAACTAAACTAAAATCATCTTTTATTTAATTTATAAAAAAAAGAAAATATAAAAAATTAATATTTATGGGAAAGTTTAAAATTTAATTCAATTAATATATACAATAACAATAAATCCAAAATTTAAATATCAATATTTATAAATTTTTTTATGTTACAATTTTTTTTATAAAAAATTGAACGAAATTAATTTAAACGAAAAAGACCTGCAGCTGTTAAAGTTGAATTTTTTCACTTGATTTGGACGTTTCATAGTGACTGAATGGCTCTAATATTTTGCATAAATACCTGACCATGCCAGCCGATGTAAATTACAACAATTAACAAACAATACTTGTTGAACCATCCAAATCATGGCATCTTTCATAATACCATTCAAAGCCCTGTTCTTCCTCATAGTCGCCCTGCATCAGTCTTCCTCTGTTTTTTCTTCTTCATCCTCCATTGCTGCAAATGAAACAGAAACTCTTCTAAAATGGAAAGCTAGCCTTGACAACAACACCCAAACTTTGCTCTCTTCGTGGGTTGGAGGCAACCATTGCAACTGGGTCGGAATCACTTGCGACATGGCTGGAACCATCACCAATCTAAGCCTTCCAGATCATTTGTTGAACTTGAAAGGTACACTTCATAGTCTTAACTTTTTTTTCTTCCCTAACCTGGTGTGGCTTAACCTTAGTAACAATTCACTGTATGGGCCCATTCCCTCACATATTGGGAACCTTTCCAAGCTCACCCACCTTGACTTGTCATACAATACCTTTTCTGGGACTATTCCATCGGAAATTTCCTTATTGGAAAGTCTTGAGTTTATTTCCTTAGGACAAAATGAGATCAATGGTTCCATTCCACAAGAAATAGGGAGGTTGAGTTCAGTTTCCGTGATCTTTTTCTATAATAACCATCTAGATGGTTCTTTACCTGAAGAAGTTTGCAACCTTTCCAAGCTTACTGAGCTTGACTTGTCTCATAATAATTTATCTGGTACTATTCCATCTAAAATCGGAAGGTTGACCAGCTTATCTACTCTCTACCTTCATGTAACTATGTTTTCTGGTTCAATCCCTGCTTCCATAGGAAACTTGACCAGCTTATCTACTCTCGACCTTTTACAAAATATGTTCTCTGGTTCAATCCCTGCTTCAATTGGAAACATGAGGAAGCTTGTGTCGTTAAATCTTCAATATAATCATTTATCAGGGCCAATTCCTTCGTTCAGCAATCTTACTCATTTGGAATCATTCCAAATATCGCACAACCATTTGAGTGGTCCATTACCCGAGCATGTATGCCTCGGTGGACAACTCATATTCCTTGGGGCTGTCAACAACAATTTGAGGGGTCCGATCCCATCAAGTTTAAGAAACTGCAAAAGCTTATACAGAGTTAGGCTTGACGGAAACCAGTTGACAGGAAATATATCAGAAGCTTTTGGTATATATCCTAATTTGACTTATATTGCATTAAGCAACAACAAATTTTATGGCGAACTTTCGCCGAAGTGGGGGCAATGCCCTAGTCTAACAAGCCTACGAATCTCTAATAATAACATTTCTGGAAAGATACCACCTGAGTTGAAACATGCAACTCAATTACAGGAACTAGATGTCTCCTCAAATCATCTCATTGGTAAGATTCCCAAGGAATTGAGAGAATTGACATTGATGTACAAACTTTTGCTAAGTGGTAACCAACTTTCAGGCAAAATTCCACCAGAGATTGGAGTTCTTTCAAATCTAGAACATCTTAACTTGGCATCAAACAATTTGAGTGGACCGATTCCTAATCAACTTGGAGAGTGCTCAAAGTTATTGGACCTGAATTTGAGCAAGAATAAACTTGGAGAAAGCATTCCACTTTCAGTAAGCTACATAAATGGCCTTCGAAATCTAGATTTAAGTCAGAATTTACTTTATTGGGGAGATACCACAACAGCTTGCAAAATTACATTCCTTGGAAACATTGGACCTTTCTCACAATATGCTTAATGGTTCCATCCCAAATTCTTTTAATAATTTGCAAAGCTTGACTGTTGTGAATATATCTTACAATCAATTAGAAGGCCCTATTCCTAACATGAAGGCATTTCATTGAGGCTTCATTTGATGCCTTAAGAAACAATAAGGGACTATGTGGTAATGCCACTGGACTAATGCCTTGTGCTGTCACTGCAACTAGCAGCGGTCATAGAAAAAGCACCAAAGTCATCATTTTCATTGTGCTTCCACTCTTTGGTCTTCTTCTTTTGCTTTTTATCATAGCTGGAAGTTTCCTTATTCTTCGCCAAAAGAACCAAACCAGAAAATTCGAGTCAATCGAGGCACAACTTGGAGATTTTTTCACATTGTGGGGGTATAATGGAAGAATACTTTACGAGAACATTATTGAAGCCACTGAAGATTTCAGCTCCAACAATTGCATTGGTTCAGGAGGCTATGGAGCGGTTTATAAAGCTGTGCTACCCATTGGTGAGGTGGTTGCTGTGAAGAAACTTCACCAATCTGAAGATAGCATGATTTCCAACAACTTGAAAGCCTTTGAAAACGAGATTCATGCTTTATCAGAAATAAGGCATCGTAACATTGTGAAGCTGTATGGCTTTTGTTCACATCCGAAGAACTCATTTTTGGTTTATGAGTTTGTAGAAAAGGGAAGTTTGAGAATGGTGTTAAGCAACAAGGACGAGGCAATGGAGTTGGATTGGGAGAAGAGGCTTAATGTTGTAAAAGGAGTGGCCAATGCCTTGTCTTATATGCATCATGACCATTCACCACCGATAATTCATCGAGACGTTTCCAGCAACAATGTTCTTCTAGATTTGGACTATGAGGCTCATGTCTCAGATTTCGGCACAGCCAGGCTTTTAAAGCCTGACTTTTCCAATTGGACCTCACTTGCTGACACTTTCGGGTACATAGCTCCAGGTATTTATTGGTATCTTTTTTTTAAGACACTTTAAACATGTCATCATTCAATTAAAACTATTAGTTTTGTGTGCAAATTGATGCGGTAAAACAAAGTTCAAATTGTATTATGATTGTAACTTTTCAAATTTTAAGTATCAAATTAAGAATTTTACTATAATTCAAGTATCGAATGTGTAATTAATCTTTGAAGTTTAACACTTAATTTTTCAATATTCAATATATCAAAGTGATGAACTAAATGTAAAATTTTGTTAGAACCTAAGAATTTCAATTTTCAAGTATTCTTCTAAATATTTACAATTTTTTTTCAACATTATCTTCTCAATATTCTTTATTCTTATATAATAGTGTATTGATAAGATATATTTCTCGCTTAATGAAGCACATTGATTAAATATATTTTTTTAAGCAGAGTTGGCTTATACAATGAAAGTAGACGAGAGATGTGATGTTTACAGTTTTGGAGTGCTAACAATGGAAATATTTATGGGGAAGCATCCTGGTGATTTGATTTCATGTTTACCATTATCGTCATCGGCATCGACATCGACATCGGTACCAAATGACAACCAACAAATTTTACTTAAAGATGTGATAGACCAACGTCTTTCACCACCGGTAAGACAAGTTGCAAAAGATGTTGTCTCCACTACAAAGCTAGCATTTGCATGCTTGAATGGCAATCCCCAACTTCGGCCAACCATGCGACAAGTTGCTCAAGCCCTTAACCGTCAATCGCTTCCGTTGCCCAATCCTTTCTCAATCATAATATGGGAGAATTGTGGGATCATGAAGTTTGCAGCGGCTAATATTAAGGTGCTAATAATTTGAATAACAATTCTAAGCACTCTATTTCTTTTTCTCTTCTTTGTATTGAAAATGTTTAAGCACTCTAATAGTAAAGCTTTTGTAATGAATCGGTTTTGATATAAAACAGCTGTGTTTAAGCATTAAATTTGTATATTCAAGATTTTTTATTTCTAAAATGTAACTAATGGCCAGACATAAAATTTTGACTTTCATATCAATTGTAATATTGTAGTACCGATTTGCTATAATACTTTCACTTTGGAATGCTACAGTAATTTTAAAATCGCATTTTTATCTTTTTGAAAAAACAAAGAATACAATTGGTGAGTACACCAAATTATAGTAAACACAACTTCATGCAATAACCTTTTGATTTTTCTATTTGTTGACCATTTATTCATTGACACACACCAACACATGATTTTTCATAATTTCATCTTTCTAACCTTTTTTCATTTCCTACCTTTTAAATCATTCAAAATTTAATTGTAATTGTATTGAGTACACTTGAAAGGGATTTGAGTGATGATTTTGAAGTATATCTATACATTTAACTTGTACTTATTTTTTACTAAAATGCTAAAAAATGTCATACTTTTCTCACATTTCTCAAATAAATTTATCTTTTTTTAATCCAATGGATAGTACAAAGCATTATTCTTATTTAATTAAGTCTTATTTACATAAAAACTACTTAAATTCATTATTTTTATCATGTCAACGATAATATTTGTCTTTCTCAAATCAATGTTTGCATTAAAAATATAAAAAATTAAGTTGAGTTATCGTTTATATGATATGCAACGGATGGCTTATATAGTAGGCCATATTAGCATCTAAAAGGCCTTTTTTTTTCAAATACATGCTGTGCATATATTGGCATCATAGAAAGAGCTATGACATATATGTTGATTTGGCAAGAAATATATATATATATATATATATTGCAGTTTTCATCTTGAAAAGAGCTTCATGGAACAAAATTGTACTTTAAAGATTTATTTAGAGAAAAAACAATATTTTAAGACTTTATTGGATATAATAGAAGGATCGAGGATTATATGAAAAAATTCAAAGAGTTTATCATCACAAAGTATTTTCATTTTTGATATTTAATTATAGCCGGGGTTTGACTGTAGTTAAATTCAATTCAAAATTTTTAATAATAATATATAGCCAATAAAATACAAAATATAATTATTAACAAAAATACAAAACATATTTTCCCAAACTAAAATTGAGTTGAATTTAGTCCAACATGTTTTCAAATTTATCCTAACCACATTTTGACAATCATTGTATGAGCCTAAACTATTAAATCTCAATGAATTTCCATAACTACTTTATTCTTTTCCTCCGTTTTGAATTTTTATACTATGGTAAAGAGTACTCTTGTTTGTTTATTTGGAAACCTACCGGCTTTGAAAAAATTAATTGTAAAAAAAATTTGTTCATTTCACATATAATTTTTATTGCAATGTTGTAATTACCCAATCACGATAAAAACTTGTATAAGAGTCCACTGCTTAAAAGTGTAGATTCTACATTATTTTTTTATGAACTCCACACAATGTTGAATTATAATTAATTAATTATACTATAATAATTGTAAATTATATACTCCCAAAAAAATTATACATATTTTAAGATTACAATGGTAATTTTTAATTTTATAAATTATTTTTAAAGTGTTTTTGTATCCATTTAACATTTGGATTATTATTTTATACAAAAACACAAGTAGTGGATTTTTTAAAAACTCATTATGTCTATTTAAATAATTAATCAATTTGTTAATTTTTTATAAATATACTCTATTTAGAGAAGTGAATTTTTTTATCCATTGGATAGGGGGATAGGAGATAGGAATGGTGGCGTTTGAACTCCACCTTACATGTCTTTCTAAACCTTCTTAATCATTAGATCAAAAAGTTGAAGATAAATAATCTTTCAATTTAATTTATAAAGTTTAAAAATTTTATTGCCAATAAATAAAAATAATTTTTCTCCAATAATTATATAAGTTAATTCATTAAGTTTTTTTATTACTTAATTATGAACATGTGATAAACTGAAAATCTTGTAAACCATTTTGGGAAGATTAAAATATTCACTCATATATTAGATATTTTTTATTTAAAAATAATTTCCATGAATTATTTTTCCATTAAAAAACCTAATTTGCACCAAAATTTTGATTTAGCAATAAATACATATAACTCACTAAAAATTAAGCTCAAATCACCATTTTCTATATTAAGAAATAAAAAAATGCTCAAAAACGCTTAAATCATCGTTCAACCAACCAATGTAATTAATTTCATCATTAACAAGAATTGGAAGAAATAAAGTATTACTTTGTAGCCACAGGTGAAGCCAAAATTGATTTCTTTTCAACATTTATTTTATAATCTTCTCAATATTCTTACATAATAATTAATAGTGTATTGATTAGATATATTTCTTACTAAATAGAGCATATTGATTAGATATGTTTCTTTAGGCAGAGTTGGCTTATACAATGAAGGTAGATGAGAAATGCAATGTCTATAGTTTTAGAGTTCTAATAATGAAAGTTCTTTAGGGGATGCATCCTAATGATCTTCTATCATGTTTATCATCGACGTCGGCATTGGCATCGACATCAATACCTAGTGACCAACAAATTTTACTTAAAGATATGATAGACCAACTATTAGAAATTTTTAAAATAAAGTATAAAAAATAATCTCACATTAGAAAAAGAGCAAATAAAATAATCATTTAAATTAAGAGGAGTAGAAGTCCACTGTAGTTGGACTTAAGTGACTAATGGACCATGGGCTTGGATTTTTAAGCTTGGTAGGTCTTAGATTAATTATATAATTAATATTAATATTTAATTAATGGCACTTGACACTGTAGTAAATAAAATATTATTTTATTTTATAATTTTTTAATGAAATGTTTAATTAGTTGAGTCTGTCCCGAACAAATAATGTTAAGTTTGTCCAAAATAAATAGAAAAAAATAGATATTCTGTACAAAATAGAAAGATAAGTTTATTCAAAATAGATAGTTTTTAATCGTTAAATAGAAAGTTTCTATCTATTTAAAATAGACAGTTATGTCTGTAGAATAAACAAACACTTAATTCATTATATAAGCTCCTTTGGTTTTATAAGAAAATAGAGAAACAATTCTCAGAACTCTCCTTTTTTCATCAATATAAACTCCAGATTTCTTTTTATAAAGTTTTGCTATAGAAGATC